CACCACCGGTTCCCAATCTATTCTTCCAGTAGCAAATTGGTCCCCAACTACAAAAATAAAAGCCTCTAGTGATGGATTTTCCTCTGAATTGTCACGTGATCATCATGAATACATGCCTTAGTTCGATCTAAGTTGTAAAGCAAATCCTAGCTTCATAAAATTAAACATAAGAGGTCGCGATTTAACAAAAAATTGGACATTTTCTATTAATCGTGCAACTATTATAATAAAATGCCGGGGACCAATTTGCTAATAGGGCAATAAGTTCGGGAAGGACGAAGCAATTTTCTCAAAAATATACGCACAGTGACAAATGACAATCAAATACTACAATCTCTATGGAAAATGACAAAGAGAAAGTAAACAGATTAAAAACCAGAAGCCCTCCTAAAAAAGAGAGAAAAAAAATACCTGGGTTGGAGAGACAAATCGAGATTTGCTTGAGAGAAAGAGGGTAAAGGGATTTCAATTGGAGAGTGGACTGAGTATGCTTTGGAGTGAAGAGTCTAGTTTTTGATACGAGAGGATTGAATATGGTTTTTGCTGTGCAAAGATCCATTTTTCAGGAAGTATTTTACAGGAATTCAAGGGTTGGGGTTTCTACAGTAATGTAGTTACAGAAATTGGTAATTTGGAGTGGGGGGCCGGTGACTTTAGGGTTTTAATGTTGTTTCTGTTTCATTTTTTTCTTTTCAGGTTTTTAGGTGGACATGTTAATTGTATTGTGGTACTATTCCATAGTTTCTGAAAAGTTGAAGATTATTTTCTAGTTATTTGTATAATTTTTTAGAGAGAGATGATAAAAGAACCAAGTACCTTTAAATAACATTACTTAAAATTAAATTTTAACAATAATGACAATGACGAATATATCGATCAACTATAATTTTTGTGTGTTATGGATGGAAGAAACTAGTTAATGTGGATCAAATTTAGCCTTTGTCTGAGTCCTATTTTTAGAATAAATTTTATAAAAAGTGAATTTTTTTTAAGAAAGGTATTTTAGAATGGAGATCAATGCGATGTGGAGCCTTATCAATGTTATGCTTGTATAGCTTGAAGAAGGCTAAAGTCAAGTCAATTCATACGGTTCTCGTTCAATTCTTTCGAATTCATTGGACCATTTTTCTTGTCTGAGAATCTCCTTTCTTCTTCCACCTTATCTCGAAGAGTGCTCTCCAACTAAGAAAGCATTCATTCTTCGGCCTATATTTCCTTTTCTCAAAAGACTTGTAAAAGTAGGGGAAAAATTGAATTTACGTGTAAAATTATTTTATTCAAAAAATAGTGTGATTGAAAAAATAAATAAATAAATAAAAATTTGGCTCAAATTGGCATGAGTGGATTTAGGTGGTATTGTGTGGGGTCAGCTGACCCCACAAAACATTCAAATTTTTTAAACTTCTAATTTTTTAATATTAATTCACTAATTCCATCTTGCATTGATTCCAAACAAATAAGATCTTGTTCTCTTTACCGTTTTCAATTTTCAAAATAGTGAAAACGTATTCTCTTTCCCCGTTTTCGAAAACGTATTTTCGAAAACACCAAAAAAAAATACTGAAGAAAACGGTGAAAAAGTCGGCATTTTCTGTTGAAAACACGGGAAACAAGTTGAAGTTCTAAAACCTACCTGCGAGAGAAAAGCCTCTTCTTCCTCAACAAACTACAAGCAGTCGTCGCATGAACCTCTTTCAATCCACTCCCGTTCGAACCCCATAAACTCTCTCTTCTACCCTTTATACTCGTCCATGCCACTTAGTTACAAAAATCGCCCCCAATTTATGAAAAAAAATCGCGTGACTATCGACGATTTTTCCATATTACCACAGCCGTCGACCACCGTTTCACCGTCAGAGCACCACCATTTAACTCCTCTCAACCAAATGCATATAGTTTCACCATTGGAATCCTGCAATTTGTCGTCTAGAATCGAGTGAAAATTGTGGAACCAGTTGACTGCCTTTTG